TTTCTTCAATGGAATATAATTTCTTCTATTGTTCCGCCACAATACGGCGCGGCTTTAATATATACCGGTGCATATTTATCTGTATTCGCCTCTGCAGTAAAGGTAATGAATAAATACAAAGTGCGATTTAAGTGCCACGCCGTTTTCAACCCCGTATGTTGAATCATAAGTTTTTTTTCGCACATACCTCACCTATAAGTGCATAACTTTGCATATTTTACTCGTACGCATAATATTTACATATTTACCCATTCTTGGTTGTATTTAGCAGTTTTGCTTTTCCTATTTAGCTTCGGAACGTGTTCTTTGCCGTATGTTAAACTGTTTTTTTACATTATACATCGACATGCAAATGGAATAAATTGTACAAAAATATATTTTTTAAGATCTGAAAAGGAATTTCGATCTTCGAAGGCATTATTCCCTGATAAACATTACGAAACAAATTTGACACGTTTTATTACATTATTATGCAGAATATAATCATCGTAATTTCGTATCAATGTCGAATGACACGAATGCCCTTTCAAAATCGCGTTAAACGATTTCGATAGTATACGTAATGAAATATCGAAGTACATTAATCGGATGACCGCGTCGGGCGGGGCACTTTTATAATTACTTTCAATCCGCAATTAAACGCGTCCGTTCTTTTCGACGAGAACGGCAAGGATGCATAATTAATATTACGTAACAATACGAACCGCGTCCGTAAATTCGTATTTTGCTCGATATAACGGGTAAGTTTATAGCAAATAGTAGCGTCTCTCACGGCGCGGCTTTTGTGTATTCCGCGCGCGATACATGTCTCGCTAGAATTTCCCGAATGGAGTCGACGGGTATAAGGGTAAATATGTAGGAGACAGCATACCACACAAATTGAGTTCTGATACGATTGCCATGTGATGCTTGTATACAACGGCGCATAGACCCGATACGATTGTACTCCGAATATGTATTTTCGCGCGAATCGTATCAATCCGGTCGAGTAGCTCTAGCTCGGAATTTTTCTTCGCAGCCCGAAATGTGTCGCACAAGATCAAGAAATATTTACATCGTCGTTTTCTCGTGCCAGGTAGAAGGAACTTATTTTGAACGCGTTTCAGTTATCGATGATCATCAATCTGATTATTATATATTATGATATGTAATTGTTGCATAAGGAGAGAATAAGCTCGGCCGCGTTTCAGTTATCGATGATCATCAATCTGATCGTTATTATATTATGATATGTATTTATTGCATGAGGAGAGAATAAGCTCGGCCTCTTCCTTCTGCTAATAATATTCTAAAAAAAAAAAACGGGAGTTTTTCCTCGCTTTACACGCGAATATCATTATCTTCAGACATTCGGATAAAAATATTTAAAAAATGCGGCTGCCACACTATACCGTGTATATTATTTACGCCAAAATGTTTCATTACTGCAAACATTAATACGATAATTGTTACTGCAGTAATTGTCTTTGATTTATCATGCGAAAGAGAGGCACAAAGATATTGTTTCTCTCTGGTATTTATATTTTGGATGAAATATTTTAATTACTGCAAATGTGTGCTTTACGTGAAATGAACAATCTCTCTCGCTGTCTGAGCAAACTGCTCGCGTAATTTGCGTAATTTTTGACGTAGAAATGCAAAAATTAATATTTCGACGTACAGCCGTTAACGATATTGCTTTTGAAGGCACAACGCGCCACGCGCTATTACCATGTCCATTTGGTTGTCCGTGATAATAAGCAGGTACTTTGTATGTTGGTACTCATGTTGGATATTAATCGTCGCTGTTCTCTTCGCTGAGCATTTCGCGCCGCAAACGGAGAGTCTTTCCCTCGGAACATTGGCAGCGTGAATTAGCGGAATGGAAGTTGTGGTGAATAACTCTTGCGGCAAAGTGCCGAAGGGCTTCCGCTATAGTAATTGTCATTCAAGGGATCTCGTTGCAGCGCGGTTAGCCATGTACGTTCGGACTACATCTAGCTTTCGTAGCATATTGTTATAGAATGCCCTGAATAGAGATACCGAATATTGTGCCGTCGTCACCGACGCTCCGCGTCTAATTCGAAGCTTCCGAGCTTCCTTGACGGCGTCGTCGCTTTGACAGGAGAGACCGACGACGCGGCTAGCTTGCACAGGCTGATTTCCTCGCTCGGAAATATTACGGAAATTCAGTCGCGAATTGGATTAAATATAAATCGAGATCAATCATTTTAAACCTCTGATGGCCGAATAAAATCCAATAGGGATTAGCGAATAGGGTCGGGTTATCTATCGACGGGTTACCTCTCTCTCTCTCTCTCTCTCTCTCTCTCTCTCTCTCTCTTTCTCTCTTGAAGCTCAATTCAGCTGAAATCTCCCAACTTTCCTCGAGGATCGAATAACTTCGCCAACTATCAGTGCGGATAAAACGACCGCCCGTTTTTCTTACTTTGTCCCTTCGTTGTAAAGCATATCCGTTGTCCCTGGAACACACTTTGTAAATAAACTTTACGGTACTTTTAGCAAACGACGACACGGAGCGTGTGTCGCGATGCGTGGGAATGGCAATCTGGCAAAACGGAGTGACATATACTTCTCAAATAAGGATAATCGAGCGACGTGCTCCGAACCATGTGCGAACGCCCGTTGAACGGCCAAGTGTATTAACGCGATGCCGCGCCGTCCGAGGTGATTACGAAAATAGCCCGTCTTGCGATCCTTTCGATTCCGCGCTCGCAAGCTTTCGAGCAATTTAACGGCATGTCTAATTTAATTTGTGTGTTTACGTGTCCATGGACTTAGCCGAGGCAAAGGGAGATCGATACCGGTGGACCACGCGCTTTAGGCTGGAATGATTTGTTGGCTAACTGCCATCGTCGTAAATTCTATTTTCACAGATACACGCGGCCAGAAGCGCGAGCGGCGCGGCGCGGCGCGGCCGAGCCGACCGTGAGATTCGCAAGGCAGGGTTCGTCAGGCGGAAAGGATGGAAAATAAGAGCGCGTCTCCCCGTGAATTCCTTATAGAATTCTCCGTTAAAAGAGCTTTTTTCGGTGCGCGTATCCGGCGTTGACTCTCGACTTACAGTTTCGCACAAAGAGATACGCGTACGCGCGGCTCGCAGAGGAAACGCTAGAAATATCAAACAAGATAGACATCCGAGATAGCAATATTTTTCGAAATAACAGAAACTCGCGCGCGCGCGCGCGTGTGTGTGGCGATCCGTGTAATTCAGATTTATATTTTCGGAGCGCATGTGCACATAATTCAAAGCGTTAAGCGCAGTGAACGTAAAGTTACCTAATTTAACATGCCAAAAACGTAATGGATAGCTTCATATTCTCCTAAACTCTCTTCTGATTATACACGATGGAATAATATGGCAGGATAATTTAAATTTTAACCGCTTCGACAATCAAAGGTATATTGCATGTGAATTGCGCCGTTCTAATTGTTTCGTCGTGTATCCGCAATTAATCAGAAGTTCAACGACTGGTAATTTAATAACGATTGAATGAAGGGAATTTCAGGGCTTCACGACGAAATACAGCGGACACGCGATGAGCGGAACTTCTATACAACGAGCGCTATGCGGTCTATCGGTTCTCTTACTGTCGACACGATCTTACTACTCGGATACTCCGCGCGGTTGTCGTCTCGGATACAGGATGTCAGTTACAGATAGATTCGTGTCGAAAGTCGCGGACGATCGTTAATACGTGGGAGTTGGCCGGGCGCCAGATAACGTGTGCGCGGAAAGCCACAGCTTCTCGTGCTTTGGTACACGACGAAGTCAAAACTTATACTGAACGCTTGGAGAAACACGAATAGAATATCTATATAACATAACGTGCAACATGCGCGTGACGTGATGCGTAACTCTTCTGCGAAAAGTTCACTGTATTTTATTTACAAAACGTCTAAAAGCGTCTCTGTGAGAACAGAAATAATTAACTGGAATTTCTTACAAAATTCATCGCGACGACATTTCTTAACTGCCTTGAAATGCCGAAGTAGAATAAATATCATATTGTTATATTTGTTATATTACGTTATCTGTTGTATAACGATCTTTGGTTGCTTTCATAAGGTTCGATTCACAGCGAACAGAAATGGCATGTCATATATTTCGCATTGATACACAATCTTCTCTTTGGCAATTTCTCAGGTTTTGGAAGAGTGCTTTCTGTCGAGTAACGTACGTCGTGCCGTCCACGACTTCGATAAGCTTCAAATAATTGGCTCGTTGACGGGGTTGCAAGAAACGATCGGTCTCTCGCCGATCAACGAGATGGCGAGAGCTATATATCACGTTTCTGACCTTCGCTCTAGACCGCGCAGAATGGTTTCATCGAAGACTTACGATTAGTCTCGTTGGTGCAGAAAGGCGCTCTACCACCTGCTGATTTCAATAGAATGGAAATAGAATCGATTTGTTCTGACGTAGATATGGGGATTGAGTCAGACGTGGAATAGTTGTGGGAGGCGTAAAATTGCGAACGCAGGAAAATGTCGGCCCGGATAGAAATTAGGGCAGAGCTCCTCGTCTTCGTATTCCCCTGCATATCGCATTTGAAAAAAGAAATATTTGACTCGCAGTCGGACCCGCGTTCTTCTCAAAATAAATCCGTGAAACCACAAACACGACGGTTATGTAATGCGGTCGCTCTTTTTCCGCAGATCGTGTCTATCGCGCTACATTTATCACTTTAACTCGGGCGTCATTATGTGCTCCGCTTAGCGCAAAGTCATTTTTATTTTATATCCTGCACTTACGTATTTTAAAGTGAAGTAATAAAAAAAATATTGTTAGAAGAAATGACTTTTTAAAATACTAAAAGTACAAATAATAAAAAAATATTGTTAGAAAAAAATCGTCTTTTTAAAGTACTAAAAGCACACGCATGGAGATTTTCTTAAAAAAATAAAGGTTTTTTTTTTTTAAAACAATCTATGAAATATGTTTCCTTCGTGTCAAAATTTCAAATTTATTATCTCGGTATTTGTTTCTGTTATTCCAGATCCGGCGCAGTTCGAACACTGACGTATTTCAGCCTTGTAACTTGTCAATAACGTCAATCATGGAGGCGCAAACTGAGGTAAGTCAATCTTTGCATTCTTTGCGTCCGCAACACGTAAATATTAAATTAAAAGTTTTGGAACTCCGTGATGTATCCGATATGTAAATGATTTTATTCTCATTACCGCCAGCGTAGAAATGCGCAAATTATCCAGATTTTATATCACAGCGAGGATAGGAGTGATTTGCATTTACTCTATCCTTGCAAAATGCAAACAACTTCTGCCGGACCTCTGCCGGTCCTTCTGCATTTTCTCGAAAAGAATACGGAAGCTTCTTATGGAAAATTTAATGCGATTTCCATTATCGCGATTACGTGGTTGAAATTGACAGAAAACGACGTATCTAGGTGGTACATGCGTTTGCCGGAACTTTTAACGAGTCTTAAAAGTTTTTCTTCTGTGTAATGTAAAGTTGGTAATTATCGTTTCAGTCTGACTGAGTGACTTTATATAAGAGATATATTCATACTCAGTCCAGACTCTGAGTCTATTTTTTTCTAAATTTCTATTTCTATTATTTCTAATTTAGAAATTTCAAAGATTATAATGCATAAAAGAGAGCGATGAAAATTTTAGCCAATACGCTTAAGAAACAACATCTTTTCATATAGAAGGTACGTTTTATGTTTCGGTATTTTAAACAGTTTACCTACGGCAGTTCTTTGTTCTCGTGCGGTTCTATCGTAAATAAAGCACTGTGAAACTGTGGTATTGTTTACGATCCTCTGTCATTCCAGTTTGAATTTGTTAAACGCTTATGTAACCTATTTTATATGAACTTTGCGAAATTAAAATGTTCTAAAGTGCATCGCTTTAAAAAGCGTAATAATTAATATTTAAAATTATGTAAAAATAGATTTTTTTTTCAAATTTTTCGAATCTTTGTGTCAGGTTCGGTTGATGCGAGCTTACAATGAAATACGTAATAATTATAAAATACGTGTAAACATTCTTTTCTGACTTTTTTTTCTAGAATTAACTTGTCAATAAAGCATAGCATAATTAGAGAAGATTCGAGAAGAAAATAGTAAATTGACTGAAAAATCTCTCGGGTCGTCAAGAAATTATAACGCTGCACCAGTTCCAATCCCTTTAGCTTGCATGGATTCTTTTTATTAATATTTCATCGTTCCGACGATATAATGAAGCTGGAAATAATGCATTATGTCAATGTACCCCCGTCGTATCAAATCGGCTTTCAGACGCGGTCGATTAACCGATATTCCCCTACCTCCTCCTTCTATCATTCAACGGAGAATCCTCTCGCGAGCCCTCGAATCGAAGGTACTCATCAATCAGCAACTCGACAATGTGAGATCTTGAAAACGCTCGACAAGAAGGGGGGGGGGGACGTGAAGATAGATCTGACATTTCCTTGAACGATAACGGAAGTCGAAGCTCTATCGGTTGCGTCGAAACTTGTCGCTACGGCTCGAGCATCATCTCTTTTTTTGCAAAAGACCGTTGCGCCGCGTAAATATTTATTTGCACCGCAGATCGTCGTTTCTTATGCAAATTGCACAATGACGCAAGTATAACGCTCAAGAATTGATTGCAAAAAGTTGCACGACCGTGAACCGCGTCGACAATTGGTATTTGCACTTTAACATTGCGCGGACTTCGCTGCGTGCATCATTGTAAAAACAACGTTTACCTATTTTTTTTCTGAAGTATGCAGTTAACCGGCGATTACTTGGAAATGGATCTACATATTTATTCATAAAAGAAATGGCGTTTGCCATCTGAATAAAAAAAAGCAATTTATTCCAATACCTTTATTTCTTAGAAAATATTTAGGTACTCAAGAATATCCAGCTATTCCAAGTAAAAATATTCTACACTTCATTTTTAAATATTTTGATATAAGAAAGATTGACGAAAATTACTTATTTTATAACTTGAAAGAAATAGACGTTTTTGTTTGCGAAAAATTGTTTCTGAAATAGTTTGATTGAAACCTGCCTCGAGATTAACCAGTTTGAAATTTTTTGCTGCAGATAAAAAGCATCTCGGATAGTTAAAAAGTTGAAGTTTAGTAAATTTTGTTAATTCCTGGGAACTTTTTCGGATTTATTAAATTGATCATTCGGAAAATTTTTAAATTAGTTATTTACGATGTTTTCCCGAATCCGAACTTTAATTAATTTATATTGTTGCAATACTGTCTATTATTCATTTATGTAGAAAGAGTTTAGTTTAAAGCATGTACCGACGGGATTTAAATTGGAATTTTATTCATTTATAAACTGGGTAACGCAAGCGGAAAACGATAAATCACGGTTATACGTGTACGGCTAGGTGATACAATGGTATATGTACATCATACTTTCCTCATTAAAACAAGAGATTTTACGAAAACACTTAATATAAAATTTATCTGGTTTATTGTAGAGTTTTCGCCGTTTTAAATGGCAAGATATACAATTTAATATCACGCCATAGTTTCTGCGCGGTGGAAAAAGCAGCTTGTACGATACGATTTTATTTTTACTTGTTTAATACGCTGTCCAGTAATTGACTGTAATTTATCGTTTATTCATTTCTTCTGAGTTTATTTTTAGTAGTATAATTTTTGCCTTCTCATCAGAATTAAATTTTAAAGAGACGTCGCTATTTTATGAAAGCTACGTCACGGCGACGGTTTACGGGCGTGTCCTATATACATATATATCTGTATTGTTATGAGCATCAGTGCTAAAAGCAACGGTCAATTTTTAGATAGCAGTAATGCTTGCCATTGTAACGCGCGCTTAGCACGCTATATTGTTACCAGTAAACTTAGGCAACTATACGTTGACGTAGGGTAAAAGCGTGATCTCTTAGAACACTCGTTTCTCAACGTCGCCGCAAATGGCGACGTTGCTATTTACGAAACGTATATTACGCTCGTATAAGAACTCTTATACTATACACATCTTAACAATTAATTTCCTCGATACTCATTTCGAAGCACGACGCGGAGACAAAAATACATTGTCTTATCAGTCAGTATTAACTATTTGATTATTAAGCTTGCGATTGTGTAAAAAATTGATTTGTTCACGCATACATAATGTCGGTACCGATATTATCGGGAGATGGAAGTCAGACAAGAAGATATTTTTTGCGCTAAATACGCGACGAGAATGCGGGACGATGAATATGAGAGAGTCGTCTCGCAGTCGTTAGACACGGTTACTCGATACTCATTCGAATAAAACTCAGAATGGATCGACTATATTTAACGCGGCGTGTGTACGGTGGGGAAATATGGGTTAAGGTTTTTTTTGTAAAAAAAAAAGCGTGATTGCTTCGGCATTGAGTTAGCGAGACGACGAGCACCAGTGTGTTAAAATAGAAAAGCCCGCTCCATAATTGAACATCGAAATCTTGTTACTTTCGGTTTTGATCTCACCCAATTTTATTTTCGTTTTACTTTGGTTTTTCAATTACCATTACTCTTCCACCCGCCGTCCGTCTGTGTACGCCGTAGCGAGCGCATTTTCAATCACCAAAAGTCCGGACGATAATGTTTCGGATTTCTGTTGATTATAATGCAAGATGCAAATATTGTAAAATGCGACGGCACGACGACGATCGTGTGCATGCTCGAGCTCTTTCAGAATTCGTCACTTCACGATCGATTTCGTCGACGACGACGACGACGCTTTACAAATTCGTCGAAAACTTCCAACGAAACGCTTTTAATTGCTGTGCATTCGAAATACTTTTGTACTCAATTGTTTTTCAGTCACTTACATTAAAACCATTAACGCGCGTTTACATCTTGTTTCACTTTGCATCAATTTTGAAGCGAGCAACGCTTTTACATCGCATGAATATCTTGTTTCACTCAGGTGGTATGGAATTACTACCGTAAAAATGCCAGCGATCTAGGTGTACTGCGCACGTTTTTTTTTTGCGCGCGGCGTGAAATTTCAGCGAAATGTAAATTCATACGAATCTTCCGGCAAACGGGCGTGTTTAATTGAATGTTAATTGACGGTTTGCTGTTTACCGGCCTGTTTGATTTAGGGGAGCCGTGTCACATTTATGAGATATGGGAATCGCTGGTTTTTCGCGAACAACCATCGATATTTGTCGTTCGTATTTGTCGAGCGCGGTTTGGAAATGGTTTACAGACAGTTTATAATCAAACGCGGTGATAGAAGAAAAATTACATTAAAAATACTCGTCCCCGGTAGAGATTTCACATTCTGTTTTCGGAAAATCATTTCAGTGGAATATTAATATTTAATATTTTTACGGTGAACTGCTTTTACTTTTGCATTAAATAAAATAACTTTAATCGCAATACTAAATGTTTTCCCTGCTAATAATTCTATTTCAGATAATAGTGTTATGCCATTTCTGAACGATCTTTCACGAGATTAATACTATAATATGCATGATCAACAATATAAATTTTTCATTTTTGTTTTACAAACAATTTGTAATGAGATGCATAACTGAGGTTTAATGATTCTATCTGATTATATCTAAATTATTGCATAAATAAGTAAGAGCTTTTTGTTCATCGAGATAACATACTCGTTCTACTCGTAACATAATCCGTAATGTGGCATTCACGCACACATGGCGTTACTGTACAAACTAATTAATGAATAAGTGGAGTTCTGTTGACTGGGTAATAAATGTACGCACTGCAAAGCCGATAACGTCTGTCAGCTGGGCCCTGCACGCTTATTTACGACGTTCTGAAGCGTGCCAATAATGCGTTTTTATGTTGATTGCACCTCAACCTATATAACAATGCTAGTAATTTCGTGTGCAATGTGAATTTCGTCAATTGTGAAAATGAGAGAGAATAGTGAAATTATATAAAATGTATATTATAAGTTTCACTGTCTCGCGTTTCACTAATAATTATAAAATATATTTTATAAGTTTCACTGTCTCGCGTTTCACTAATAATTATAAAATGTATTTTATATATATATATATATATATATATATATATATATACATGCCATTTTATCTTATTTTAGTGTAAGTTAATTAAAACAAATATTATTTGAACATTTTATGACTTTTATGAATATTTTGATATTATATAAAAAGTAACGTATGATGTTTTTCACTTGAAAAATATATTTTTCGTCATGATTAATATTTATGTTGCAGACGATTTTGTCCGACGTTACATTTCCGTGGTCGGCGATAATTAATATCTGAAATACACTGTATAATAATTGTCGTGTGACAAAAACTTTTGCGAATATTCTGCTTGTGCGAATCGAAAGCTTCTTTGCTCGGCACACGTATGGCAAAGCGGCTTTGTCGTAAAACGTGTTCCGCTTCATTATTTCATGTCGCGACACCTCGACCGGATATCGCAATAGCGTTCATTTCTATGCAATAAAGTTATTACGGGTCGTGTCGTAGTCCAATGAAACGATTTCCTCAATAATGTGTTGAAATCTCTAACGGCGACGATTTATATCCATTCTGCGAAGTCTCGGTGCAGCATTCGTGCTCTGCGCGATGAAATTGAAGCGACGATAGCTCACGAAATAATCGACAAATGGTCGGCGTTATAATGAATATCGGGAGCTAATATAGCCGCGGGGACGCGAATGCAGAAGATATTTGGAGCGCGGTGAAAATGTAGGGAGTAGCACGGGACAACAGAGTTCGGGGAATGTCAATTTTGTATTGTAATTTCAGCGTTGAGATATATGTCTTTTGTTCACGAAGTGTTCCGTTTATATTTTATGCTCCCGAAGATTCCGATACATTGATTTTTCATTTCATGTAGCACAGGCCCGACCTTATGCTTGAGAAACTATTTTTACAGCCTATTATGTTATAGTCGAGAGGTCTTTGTAGTAATCTCCAATCTCCAGTTAAAAAATTCATATTTTTATTAAGATAACAATCAAGTACCTTAGATAATACTTTTTTATTGGTATCTTTTTCCGAGATATTGCAAAGATACGTGCTGATATAAATGCTAAAACGTAAAATATTAATGAAGGCTGCATTCGTGTTTCTAACAATTGAGATGCGAAAACGTCAACACGATACAAAGCGGATCTTGGCACTTGATAATATTACAATATGTGAATCTTACAACTGTTCTCAGTTCAGATGAACTGCGCGCCGCATAATCGGATCATTAAAAACGCAGCAATATTATAATATTATCGAGCATCAAGATCCTGTTTGTACCGTGTTGGCGTTTTCATTATCTCACTTGTTCGTAACACTCCGCGGTTGATTCAGATTACTTAGCTATTCGTGTTTCTATCTTAGTTGTAGATCGAGACGCATGTTAAGTAAGCGTGCGTTGCGGAGTTCAAATTATGCCGTAACGTGTACCGGACATTTATAACTTATCTCACTTTTGCGACTGCAACTCATTAATATTCCACGCGTCGTTTTGCCGAACAGATACCGGGGAACACAACGGTGGGTAGCACGCTACTCGACGAGGAACTTCGTCGAATTCTGATGGAACGTGAGCAAGAATGCCTGAAGCTGAAAGCCGCGAATGCGACGCCGCCGTTGGGTAAAGTATTTTTCATGTTTGAAAATAAGCGAAATCGACCAAGCGCGAGCAAAAATGGCGAGTAAAATTGTAGCGCAGAGTGCGCACGCAATCGCGCCCTTATTGTATGCAGCGCGACATATCGCGAATTTTATCAGGCCCATTTTGCTTCATCTTGGTACTCGATCAGTTTAATAGTGATTGCACATTAATATATCGGATTTTTCGTCTAGATTAGACGTTTCGTTTTATACACGATAACCCGATGACAAATGGTAATATAGGAAAAAAAATGAAAGTGTCGGCGTTACACGCGCGCGCGCGTGAATACCGATCTGCATGTGTTGAAGGTTGAAGCCATAGGCATAATAAGTATAGACTGCCGCATTCCAATGAAATTGCCACTATATCAGTTTAGAAGTAGCTACGTGCATATCGCTTCTCTCTCTAATAATAAGTATCAATAACGCGGGATAATGATACAAGTACATAAGGTTAAAGAGAGACGCTCTGATACATTTCCGATCTATTGCGTTCTATTTCGAAGCACAGATGCTAAACATCAAAAGATAGGGAATTTGCAGTCTGTACTTAGGTCTATAATTGAAGCGCATACGCGTAAATACACACACATACACATACAAGAGATAATTAATTAAAATACATATTTTATTAAAAACACTATGTACAGCACTAAGTAAGAATGTTGTTCCCGAGAATCGTATCGAAATTCCTTTTTCATACGTATCAAAGGGAAGATAATAATCTCGAGAATGTCGAATTTGCTAATACACAGGGAAATATTATTTGTACTTTTCACTTGTTCTTTTTCGATTTCATTGCTGCACTGTCCTTCTTTGCGCGCGATCCGAACAAAAGGTTTTTTAATTTTCGGAGGATAAACAGCGCGATGTAAAGCACCGTGATAATTACGGCGAGTATAAAGGCGTAAACGTCTAGCAAACACTGTTGCCACCAATAGAGATTGAGCGCCGGCGATTGAAGCACGTTTCCGTATTTCGCGACGTACTCTATCCAAAATACGGACATGTTCATTGGACTGATCGGTCGATCGACATACATCTTCGACATCTTCCTTATATTCTCACTGAAACAAAAGAGACAGAAATGTTTTAGTAGCGGGGTTTACAGACAATATCATTGCAGTCGCGGTAAAACTCAGAAGTCTGTAATGAGCGGTATTTTCAGTCGCGTCACGTTTTCACTCGACGCTGGATCGTGAAATTTTGATTTTTTGTTTAAACTGTAAAAGTGCACGCGACCCCTCTTCATATAGATTCTACATTTTTTTCCAATTTTTTTCATCCGTCCCGTCCCGATTGAAGCGTTTGCCCTTATTATTGAACCTTTACGCGTATAAAACGTGTTTCGTGTGGATACGCGCGGATGAAATGGACGTGGAATTTAAAGCACATACCGATTGATTAGAATTGACTCACGATATGCATTGGAGAGTAAAGCAAGATTTGGTTACAATAGAGAGCACACGCTCTGTTTATTCCGCGATATGGAACGGTGCAACCGGTTGCGGATCAATAAACGGGCTAATAAGATTTGAAACAGTAAATTTCAACTTTTGAAGTCCTCTTAATAATGAGACTGTTAGCCACCCAATTTAATCATTATTAACACTAATTATAAGTTAAAATTTATTTTATTTGAGTAAAATTTTGTTTTTGAAAGAAGTTAATAATTAATTGAAGTTAAATACATATAATAGCACATACACACACACACAATGCAAAAGTAAATTTTAAAAAATCAAAAGATTTGGTAAAAATAATACGTGTGTATAAAATATACTATTATAACGATTATTATTGTATGATCACTATATGATAAATAAATGGGCTAATAAAATTTGAAGCAGTGAATTTCAACTTTTGAAGTCCTCTTAATATGAGACTGTTAGCCGCACAATTTAATCATTATTAACACTAATTATAATAATATAAATTAAAATTTTTTTAAATTGAATAAAATTTTGTTTATGGGAGAAGTTAATTAATAAAGTTAAATTATACAACAGCAAAAGTAAATTTAAAAAATCAAAAGACTTGATGATAGAAATAATACATGTGTATAAAAGACACTATTATAACGATTATTATTGTATGATCACTAAACATAACATCTTATAAATTCCAGCATGAGTACATCATGTTTGCATCTCTCTCGAATAATATTATGATTTCATTAAACCCAGTTGAACGCGTTACAATTAGCAAATGACGATGCGTAAGCTTTTTGACATCTACAGTCTTTAAAGTACAGTCTTTTAAGTACTTACCGATAGGTGGAATCCTTCAGGATATTATTTAATGCCGAAGTTAATTTCTCTTCAGTAATTTCGTCTATTGAGTTAAGCGAAATAGCCGCTTTCTTGTTGACGTAATTTTGAATGTTGATGCGTTGATCGCCAAACAGGGGAATTCCAATCATAGGAACTCCGCAATGGAGAGCCTCTAGTGTCCCACCGTTGCCGCCGTGCGTAATGAAAGCTCGGATGTTTTTGTGTTCTGTGAAATTCATAGCGATACTATTTTTCTTTCATTGCGAAAATATCGTAATTGGGACTTACGAACAAATACACTGTGCACGAAAGTAATAATAATTTAGAAGACAGGATATCCTTCCAGAGGATCAATTAATTTTTATTTATATTAATGTTTTATTTATATTAATATTTATTTTTAGGAAATCGATTTAACTCTATATGATTTTTTTATCTTAAACAGTTTTTAAAACTGATTAAAAATTTCTTTTCTGAATTTAAAAATAGCGAAATTTATTTATTTCAATTGGAAACAACATTTTCTGTTTAATATAAACCAAATTTCAAAACCATTTATTTTGCAAATGTATCGTTCGAAATTTGTCAAGTACATTATAATTTATAAATCAACTGTCAAAAATTAGAAAAAATTTTATCGCAAGGAAATACGGCCGAAAAATATTTTTTAAGATTGCTCAATTTATATGCAAATATCACCGCGATATTCAAAATTTATGGATTTTTATCAGAAATAATGATTCTAAAAACAATTATGAAGAAACGAGGTCTGTTATTTCAATGTTCTAACGTGTGGCCGGCTGATAATAATTACGTACTGAGAACGGGGATCTGTGGGAACCACGATTGCGTCATGACGTTCTTCGGTAATCCTGGCAACAAATCCTCTTTTTTCGCGACCTTCATCAGTACGCGAACGGGTGCGATCTTTTCGAAAGCTCGGTAAAACTGTTGAATTAGTTCTTTAGGAAAAGTTTCGATTCTCACCATGGAACCCAATGTAAAATAGATACAACCATCCTTGCTTTCGTCCAACCATTTTTGCACTTCCTATATATTACATTTCTTTAGAGCAAACAGTTTGCGATTTTAAATAATTCTTCCTGGATACACGAGGGTATCACGCGATGTGTTTTTAAATGCATGGAATTTTGAAACATATACCTTACATATATGTTTTAAAAATAATGCTTGCAAGATTTTTTAAAAAAAGATAAGTACTTAATGAAATTACTAAATACGCAGTATTTTTATATTTATCATAATTGTTCGCGACAATCATGTGAAATTTCAATAAAATATTAAATATTTTTAACTATTTAATGAAAATTTTATGACAAACAAGAACAATCCAGTTTATTTTTAATGCTCATATCGGAAAAATAAGTATTACATTTAATAAAAACCCATTTTATATGTTTCATCTTTGTGTGTAAAATGTTTTCTAATTTTTTTTTATCAATATCACATTTTGTTCATTTAAACCATAAATTGCATATTTTTTGCAAAATATTTTTATTTAATTACAGTTTCTTACTTTATATTTAGTTTTAAAACGAAAAGAGAGAAAACAACTAAAATTCTTTTTACGATAAAAGAAATGATCTCGGTTCCAGTCAGGCCTCATTGTATCCAGGAAGAACGCGTTATGAATAATGGGAAAAACGATTCACGTTATGAAACATACCGGTGACAGCGGATCTTCGTCGGCCGTGAGATGCAGACCGCCGACCTCGATCACGTTAGTGGTCATCGGTCTGATTGCGTTTAACGAGTGATGAGAATTGACCAGGTACACGGCAATTTCTTTATATAGGTCCTTGATGTGCGGCACGTCTATGCCGAAGTGCTCCTTTACAACTGTCAATTGTCTATTCGTGTAATAGTGCATTTGCCAGGAGAGATAGTGCATTAATAGAAAATTCGTCAGGCGCTCCTTGAAGTTCATACGTTGGCCGTACGACGAGAACATGCTCGGGATGTAGGCGGGATTCATCGGGTTGCCGGACACCTCGTTGAGCCAGTCGTGAAAAACGCTGGCCACCGTGGCGACCGTGGGGACTTTGAGATAACGGCCGAAGGCTAAGTAGCACGGTGCCGCGAACAGCTGCGCACATATCGTCAGTCGATCGATTAATTATTCGCGCTCAATAAGCCACCACACACATCTTGCAATCACACGCGTGATATAGTATATTGAGCGCGCGCGCGCGCGTGCAGTACATCAAATCCCCCCGCGCGCGCACTTGTTCCGCGGGGCGAAGATGCGCGCGGTTGCGCGCGCCCATGGATCACGGTCGTTTAGCAATGCAGTCAAGTTACGGCGGGACCTTGACGCGATGTCGCCTCGAGATATCACTCATAGAGAGCAGAAACGAATTACCATTATGACACGCCGCAACACACATGGCGATGGAGAAAAAATAGACATGACGTTCAAACAGAGTGACAAGAGCGAACACATGCCATCACGTTGAAGTACTACGTATGTCAAAATTGCTCATTTTACGAGGCAATTTGCATCGTTAGGACTCGGGCATATATAATTATGAATTTTTGTGAACCTTTTTTTTGCAAGAATCGTATTTTTCAGCGCCTGACAAATTTACTGAAATTGATTGTTTAACTACGTTATCGTTGATGTCACATCTCTCGAGAATTGAAAAGTCTTCGTGTTACAAACTTCGACGTTACGAGTACCTGGTATATAGTCTATTTTTGCCTCATTTATTTGCCACTTCGCATCCAATCATTCGGAAACAAATAAAAGCTCGTTAGAACCTCTAAACACTGTGATATTCATTGAATGGGGCAAATTGAATAACGCAACAAGTATCATACAACTCATATCGAGATTCAAACGCTCCCGGTTTATTATATTGAGTGTGGCAATTTCACGTGTCATTACATCTGTTCGTTATAGTTGCTCTTTCTGCTCTCTCTTTGTTTCGTTCCTCATTCTCCCTCCACAAAGCGTAAATATACATATATAACCGTTCCATTTTAAACGCAGAAAGCGCAAGGCGGCACAATTAGAACGACTATTTACAAGAGGACCACGTTATTTTCGTGCCGTTATCGTAACTTAATCTTAATTTAATTTACTGTATCAATATTTAATAATTATAGATGTGTAATTAAGTTAAATCGAACGACAATGCAAATTGACTAATTAGAATTTCTAATTTGATTTATTAAATTAAGATGAAATTCAATTTAATTAACTTGTTTTAATAAATTATATAGTCTTTCTGTGATATTATTTGTTATTTTAATGATGTATAATGGCGTAATATGACGCAACATTTGCGTGCAAATATGCATATTTGTGGCGCCGCGGATCATATTTTAATGTCTCCCATTCTTGCGTCACGCGATATCTAAAATTTGATTTAAGATTATATATATAATCGAATGTTATGCAAATGTATCGCAAAACTTCAAAATTCATAGGTTGAATTGGTTAGCGAAAGGCTTGATTCTGTCGCTGAAACGCTGAGGAACCGTAACAGTTAAAAAAAATTTTCATGAAAAATGCATAGTCATTAGAGTCCTAACGATTCGAATTTGCCTTGCAAAATCGGCAATTTTGATATAACACTCATATTTCGATATCCAGGTATTTTGTAAGAGAGCACTTGAATTAATGGCTTTACGATGGCCTCGAAATTATCATTATTATTATCATTATTGAGATTAATAGGGCAGGATTTTCTGTGTCAAAAGTTACTCTTCGACCCTAAAACGCTACGACTTTAACAAAATCGAACGACAACCATTGTTTGTCGTGCGTAATAAATATTGAATAATTAGTGAATAATTAACGACTTGCCATGTTACACGTTGTAACGCGAATCAGTTAATTAACATCTCGTTAAAAGCGGTAATAATTTTCGTGTAATGAAGTAATGTTTGCTTTTAATCCAACCGCGTTTTATTTAACTTTATTAATTAACTCTCTCCGCATATTATATAAAAATCAAGTCTTCTTCTTTTATGCAATTTTTCGACTTCGATTTCCTTTATGTAATTGCGTGATAAAAGTTTTGTGAGATTGGTTATTTCGTTATACTTCTCTGCTATGAACATAAATACTATCTTATCTCGTGATAATGGCTCTAAAAATACGAGCAATGTTGCATCCATTCTTATTTGCGCTGATTGCTTGTATCAATTCTTTTCGTGTATTAATTTTTTTTTTAAAAACAAGTATATATAATGTCTTATTATTTTTTAGGCTATATTTATCGTAAATCTGTTGTGGATTTTTTAAACGAAGAGATTTTTTCTCAGTCGATGGTACTAATACTTTTTATATTATGAGGAATCTCGAGATAAAAATCTTTTTTCGCGGATTAAGCTCCAGAGATGCGAATAATTACTAAAATTTAATTTCGCATTTAGTATTAAGTGCAGAGTTCTACTTAAAGAGAGTAATTTAATTTAAAGTTTAATTAAAAAGTTTCCAAATATTAAGAAATTAAGAATAATAAGATGCAGAGGATAACCGTTCGACATCTTTCCAAAGATAAAATCAACATGAAAATCATAAAAAAATTTATAATTTATATTAGAAATATAATAAAAAAAGAGCCAAGACTGACCGGTATTCATACAATCTTGGTTTTTATATTTAAAATCGTAAGTAAAGTCTTAGAGCATTTACGTTGGAGCAGTGATGAAAGTTATAAGAGATAATAATAAGAAGCTCTAAGAGATGATAAAGGCTAACTGAATCTATCTTATCTTTGATGTATTTACAGTGCAGCTATAATATAATTATAACCATATAGTGAACCGCTTCCACAAAAGTGAGTAATTCAGAAGGAGATTAGTTATGTGATATTCAAACTTTTATCGTCTCGTATAGCTTTTATCACTGTTCCAACATTACCGCACTCTAATATAACTCTATCATTAAATTGAAATAATAGAAATTTGCTTACGCAAGGATGATCGAGCACATTGATAATTCGAAAACATCAGACATACCTCTTGAATGACGAGGTCATAGGGGGGATCTTGCGGCGGGTTCTTGATCAGTTCTTGCATCTTTGGATGATTTAATAGATTGCAAATGCTATCTCCGGCCATTCCAACCAACATAGCTATAGACGGAGTAGCGAGACCTTGTAAATCCGACGCGGACATATTGTTATGAACTTGTGGCATGCTGCCCTTCAGACTGATATCCCTGTAATTGGGTATCGGCTTCTCCAGCGGGAAATGCGTGATCACATCCACCTGATGACCGCGTCTCGCCAACTCTTTCATCAGCGCCTCATGCACGATCCAGTGACTCTTGCCGTGTAACGGGAACACACCGAGAATTCGGTAACCGTTAGCAATTTGGTCGAGGGCCAAAATCGCCAGGAAAACCGATAGCAACACCTTCATATTGATTTAGTAAGAGTTTGACGTGATTCCGTGTCAATATATCCGATAACGTCTGGCACCTTACGTAATCTCTGGCGTGCGTAATGACTAGTCGAGTCGTTGAAACTGCGCCAATCGCGATTACTAATCACACTTGGAACTGAGAGAACATTAGTTAGCTGTAAAATAACAAGGCAGACACGACGTTTCTGTGAGAAAGATAACATTTTTTGAATGATATCCGCAATGTTTTTGCGCGCTATATATAGTTGGACATTAATAACATTCGTTAGTTTAAATTTTCATGTGCATAAATTATTGATATCTCCGTTGTTGTTTCTCTGTTATTTACATATTTTAACATCAAATATATTATACAATACGAGTGCTTTAATAAGCGCTTCAGTCATCATTTTTTACGGATTCCTGAATGATACATGACACTTTACATGAAATGAAGAGAAATTGTAACGTTACTTACTTCTTCTATAATACACAAGGAGATGATTTGATGCTCCGAGGTATCGCTTATTGTTTGAGATCTCGTGGAGAAGGTCTTTCACAAGTAGATACGTTAACAGGCAGTTGAGTATGAATACTGACCGTGACTTCTCCCGCCAGAGGAAAGGATACATGATAACGGGGATAAGTAGTGGTGGTAGTGGTAAAATAATTGACGCCTCAAACATCACGTTCCAAGCGTATTCTGTCAAAGTCCATCTCCCGTGAAAAGAAAACTTCCGCGAGATATGTAGAATATGTAGAATGACTTTACTTTTTCTTGCACTTTTTGTGATACACAATTTTTGTCATATATATTCTTGCACACATCTGCACACATATACATATACACTACCGGTCAAAAGATTAAGTTCACCTTCAGTAAATTATTGCCCATTTTTAAAATTTGGTAACTTAGCGAATAATTGATGTAAAAAATATCAAAAAAGAATTTTACAGGGCAAACTCTCTACCATAAAATGCCTTTGTTCAATTTTTACTCACTTTAATACTCAAAGGCTTGACCAGCTTTGAATAAAGACGTATTTGACACATCTAAAATCTCGAAATTTGTGATCTTCCACCGCCTAACAAAAAAATTGGCGAAAATAATTGTTGGTATCATCTCAAAGTACGGACTTTGCCCTTTTAAATTTAAAAAAAATTTTCCTACGCTGATTATTTAGCAAGATATTGCAATTTCAGGTAATCTCCATTTTTTACGATTTTTACATTTTTTTTACGATATACCGTGCTAAAATTGTAAAAAGCAGAGGCAATAAAATAAAATTGCAATATCTTGCTAAATAATGAGCGTAAGAAAAATTTTGTTTTAATTTGAAAAGATAAAGCCTGTACTTTGAGATGGTACCAACAATTATTTTCGCCAATTTTTTTGTTAAGTGATGGAAGATCACAAATTTCGAGATTTTAGATGTGTCAAATACGTCTTTATTCAAAATTGATCAAGCCTTTGAGTATTAAAGTGAGTAAAAATTGAACAAAGGCATCTTATAGTAGAGAGTTTGCCCTGTAAAATCCTTTTTTGATCTGTTTTTTTTACGTCAATTATTCGCTGAGTAATCAAAGTTTAAAAATGAGCAAAAATTTACTGAGAGTAAACTTAAACTTTTGATCAGTGTATATACATATACATACGTATATTATTTATATTTTGATTACAATATTTTGAATATATATATATATATATATATATTGAATTACAATATTTTTTAATATTGGTAGTTAAGAAAATTAAATTAATTGAAAATTTATTAGCATTTAAAGAAGTACGAAAAATAATTTAAAATTAGTTAGAGAGATAAGAAATATAATAAATGTAGAAAGTGCCAAAATTATTTTAAATTATTAATTATAAATTGTAATATTAAATAATTAAATTGTATAATTGCATTAAATTGAAATTGTTTTAATCAATTAAATTATAAACTTTTTTAAAAAAAGTTTTTTTACTAATTTCATGGATATTACTCTCTACAAATGATGTCATTATAATTTGCATGCAAAAGAGTGTTTTTTTTCCAGTTTAATTACGCGTATTTTTATTTTTTGCTTTATCATTGTTAGATAATTGTTACTGCATAGTTATACAACTAGTTTTTTATGCTGTTCGGAGGAAACAAGTTTATCTGTTAGATATGTAAAATGCTTTACAATTCATAAATGAATAAATAAAATGTAATTGATACACACAATAAGTTTTACGTTATTTCAATACATTTGTGTTTTTTTACAATAAAAAACTTTTGAAATTTACGTGCAGACGTTCAATTATCAAAATATTGGAACATTTTTCTCTAATATTTTTATAAAGTACTCAAAATTCATTGCTTTTCATGCAAATTTCTTTTACGTGTGAGCAACATAGCGCATAGATATGATGCAAAATAAACTTGGGATTAGCTGGATCGCGTTTTATAAGCTTTCTTTATCCTTTATGTAAAAATGAAATTCTTTCATTTGCAATTATATAAGTTTTATTTAAAACATTTTTATAATAACATCTTTCGCGCGTGTGGTAAAATTTTTTAACAATTTTGAAATGAATTTTGGTTCACAATAATTTAGTGACAGGTCATTGATAAAATTTTCTTACTTCTTTTAATATTTTAATAAAATAATTGAATCTTAGAATTCTGTCAAAACAAAACTTATTTGAAATCAACTAAAAGATAAATTTTGCTTATCTCTTTTTTTAAGGGAATTACAGATTTAAAAATCTATTTTTATAATTTAAACTGCAAGACATCTGATCGGGATACAAATAGATTTAAAAATCTATTTCTATATTTCAAACTGCGAGACATCCGATCGGGACACATTTTTTTTGCGAATGCTACGCATAAAGTTCTTTTGATCGTATCTAAAAACGACTCTATCAACCGTAAAATATAAGAATTTCTAAAATATATACGCTTTGAAATACATATTGTGACATGTGAAATGTTCGCTGAACTGATATCTGTTACGGAAATGCACAATACGCACTACACGAGACAAAGAGACGTTTTACGTCCGAGATATAAATGTTTGTGTGACAGAACAGATGAACGAAATTTTTGTAACGTAAAACGGACACAAACATTAATCCTGGAAGAATTGTTCTATTTTTACAATATTAACTTTACAAAATGTGCGGTCGCATCCGGCTTCGTAACATTCAAGTGGAAAATGTTCCGTATGGCTTTCTCAATCATTCTTTTTGTACGACCGCGTATGTCGCCGTTCTCTCAGGCTAGTCATACGAAGAGAGGAAGAAAGTGATTTATTTTCAATAAAAACTTGGCGGGATCTCGCAGGAGATCTCGGATGAAATCCGCGCTATCAACGTTTCTTCGAAACTTGGATCTTGAGAGCAAATGCTAACTTTCTCGAACTTGTAACCGCGACGGAATCCCTTAAACGTGATTTCGCATTAATACAGCTTAAAGTTAGGCTTCACCTTTTACGTCACTTTCCATGCTCTTCGTATGCATTTGTAAATTGTTTACATATTATATGTAAAAAAGTGTATGAGGATACGAAAATAATAGAACAAGATATATTAAGACATGATATTTTTGTGTTTTTTTTTCTGGAAAATATCATGTCTGGATACTTCATTTCAATTTTGGAACTCTGTACTGAGATCTCCTATTTTATAATTTCCCATGCTCTTCGTATGCATTTATGAATTTTTTTTTACATATTTTTTACATATTATATGTAAAAAAAGTGTATGATGAAATATACGAAAATGACACACATATAAAAATAAGATATATTAAGACACAATATTTTCGTATTACGATTTTTCTTTTGTAAACATCATGTCTGGATATTCCATTTCAATTTTGAAACTCTCTAATGAGATGTGCTATTTTATAATATACGAGAATTTTGGAATATTATAAATCGTCAAATTTAATGTACTTTTGCACAATAATTTGTAAAAATGCGGATCGACTTCGAATTTGTTTTATCTCTCTCTTCCAGAAGATTTTATGAGTTTTTCGCGGATCTCGTTTATGTAGCATTTCGTCGGCATATAGTTCTTTAATGATGAGTAATATGTTACGAGTCGTCTTTTTTTTACGACCGTCGTAAATTGTACGAGAAAATTTATCCAATTTGCCGTAGCTAACTTACGCGCGGTGCTGTACCTCCCTTACGATGTCATTATACCGCTTCGCAATTTCTTATATATCGAGATTTAATCTCGACGCGCTGTCGAACGCTAACTAGCTAACGCGTTTTACGAGATCATCGATCTAACTTCTACGTACCATATTATCCCGTTATAATCTCCTACTTAAACTCTCATTTCAGAACCGTATTGTCGAATAACTTTCGACGGATGGTCCTGTTGGCCAAACACCCCAGCGGGATCGACAGCTTACGTACCGTGTCCTGACTTCATCATCGGCTTCGATGCATCATGTAAGTACACGCTAGTAGCTAAAGCAATATGCGATAAAATTATCGCATTATATACCTTTTTTTTTTCTCCTTCCGATGAATCGATGAGTCGCTATTAATGGACAATATATGACTACATGTTATTTTGTATTTGGGAAAAAAAACTTGTTACGTCAGTGAAATGAGTCTTGGTTGTGTAACCAGCATGTCGCAATTATCTTTATATTCTTTCGAAAACGTTCGAAAACGTTCGAAATCACATCTCAGCATTTCAAGTCCCTCTTATCTTATACTTTTATCGTTTATCCCCTTTTTTCATTTTATTATATATATATTGGAGATAATAATCAATGATTTGCACTTTTTTGATGACATAATAATATAATAATTCTTTCGATAAAACAAATTTTATCTTTAGTAAAAAATGATAAAAGTACATTATATTGATTTACTCACCCTATCGGTTATCTTCATTTGGCCTCGTGAAATGCTCGTTTCGCACAGTGTATAATTCTCGATAGAGTGTTCATATGTTCGTCGATACATCAACGGATATGTTTAGCCTTCTGGCTCACCGTTCGACAGTATTATTTCTGTCGATGTTAACACAAGGACACGTAAATATCGTTTGAATTATTCGAAATCAGTTTAAAAGTTTCAACGTTTAGCATACCTACTTTAGATTAGAAAAAAATGTTATTAAAAATGTTCAACTTTTTTCGAAATCTGTAAACTTATTCAGAAAGAACTAAATCTAGGAAATTTGGGAAAAGATTTTTTAAGGAAGACAGGATTTATTTGAGAAAAGTCATTGCGCGCTGTAATGAATACATTTATCATTTGCTCGATTGCTTAAAAAACGCAGTGATAATAAATAAATATATTAATGCATATTAAATAATATGTATATAATTCAGGCAAACGGCGGTATGCCATATTTATTTAAACTGCTTAAAAATAACTTTTATTACATAACACGCATTGCGCTTTTACTTATATATCTCGTATATAATTACTACATAAAAACTAAAACTATGCGTATCTTTAATTTATCCATTTATATAAGTTGAACTAGCAATTCTTATAAAAAAAACGCATTTATTCCTTCGAGAAATATGTATTTAAATGTTTGCTTGAAAAAACTTTAGGCATATATCTCCCGAAATAGAAAATGAATATTTTAATGAGAATTTGTGACTTTATAAAAAACAAATTTGCGCACATAGTTTAACATATATAAAAATACACTTGCAATTCAATTATGCAATAACCAGGTATATAAGAAAAAGCGTAAAATATCGCAGAAAATACGTATATAAAACTAGCTCGCCGTGATAATTAGTTTCCTCGATTTGTTTAATTAACGAATCTTACTTAAACTGAAAATTATATCAAATGGTCTCGATAGCAGGTTAAATATAGGTTCCTGTATTTCTTGAAACTTTTCGATGATTTGCTTGTATCTTGCCGCGGTTTTATTGTCAACATGGATAATATTATCGTACTACAAAACAGAAATCCGTATTACCAGCCTCAATGAGACCTTCTATGATTCTATGATTCTATATAAATACTTTTCTGACAAATTGATATATAATTGACATATGGATTAAATTAATTTGGATTACGTTGAGAAAGTGCTTGAGAACTTTGGTCATGAACGAGACTAATAGCGATGAAAAAATATCGATTAATTTGGGCAAGTGTTGACTGACTCACAGGCCAAAGAAAACAAAGTTCGTTTTGCTTGAAGATTCCTCGCATTCTTGAATCTTCTTCGCATACACTAACAGCAAAGAAGATTATTTATTTTGTTTAAATGACAAGACAGATGAAAATAAAATCTAATATAATTATTAATGATTTGCGAGCTCATAAAGCCCGTTTTATTAACTTAGTTTTAATTCTTGACGAAAATACGTATGAATGAATGCACGATTTGACTGAAGAGAAATATAATTTTTTAACAGACACGACACAATAAGTTGTTGCTCTATTGCGATTCGCATCTGCGAATCTTTTAAAGCGTATTGTATGTTTGTTCTTATCCTTTGATAAAAAATGCAATATCGTAAAGTATTTCGCTTTATTGCATACATCAAGGTTGGTTGACGTGGAATAGAAATCTTTGAAGTATATTCTCGACGAATTTTTTGGATAGAAGATTAGTAACGCAGGGAAGCATTTTCAAGTGCTGGGCAACGTAAACGTTTATCTGCTGGTTTAGTTCTATTTTTTGAAAATAGTTTGTCGTTTTCGAGCTGTAGATCGAGATATTTCACGTGTTCATTGGGGATGTCACAAAGTTTCCTTTGCGAAAGCAACGCTTCGCCGTTTGAGATTCAACGGCGACACAGTTTGACAATATACATATACATATGTATAGGGACCAAGTTTCGGGTCTTAGGTTTGTGACGAACAATCTATATAGATTGCTTCGAACAAAACTTGTCGTATTGAATAATTCTTCTCGGTTCACCACGATTTTGTGATAGAAATCCAAGCTCACGCACGGAAACGTTTATTATAGGATTTTAATCCATGCAGCTTTCCTAAGACCTAATCCTATGTTTTCGCACACCTACGCGCTTATACTTGTCAATTTTGTGCGGTTGATATTACTTTGGCCAAAGAAGTCCGCCTACATACATTCGTTAGTATCATCAAAGCTATTAATTAATTCCCTACATACAATTTTGCCACACAGTGGAGGGGCGCACACGTGCTAGATTACGTACCTTCTTCCTCGTTATGATCTCGCCTAAAATGCAACGTATGTAATGGTGTTTTCCTTTGAGATTGCACTCGCGTAGTGTTTCCATTAGAGCAATGTTAAAATTTGCACGGAGGCAGTGCAAATTTTAACGTTGCTCTTATGGAAACATTGCATGAATGCAGTCCCAAGTGCTTGGTCCTAAAACAAGTTGTATCTTGAAAACTAAATCTGCTTATTTTCATTATGAAATCGTTTTAAAGGGGAAAAATTTTACTTTTTTTAAAGATATTTTTGAAAAAATTGAAGCTGTCTAAAGAGGACAAACAATTTTTTATTTTGACCTTCAAAAATCTTAAATAAATTTTGATTTTTTTAAAAACTTATTTTAAATTCAAAGGGATTAAAAGGCATGAAAAAATCTTTCGAAAACACTCCTTGTTTTTTAAAATCAAAGTATAATTTACTGAAATTTATCGATTTAAAGTTGAATGCAACGTTTTGTCTTAAGTGACAAAAATTCAAACCCCTGTAAGTAGACAACCCGTGTAGCATAAGTAGTATATAGTTTCATAAGTAAAGGTCGTATCGCAAGCCATGAACAATGGGTAAGCGGTTTGAATGCCATAAGTATACCCACTGCCGTGAACATCTGCTGCGCGAAAATCGGATTCTTGCCGAACAATCGACGTGCGAGTGTAATCACGATACGTATCCTCGTGTTTATGGAAACGTAAGGGAAGAGGCGTTCACAGAAGTACGTGACGTCGACGATCTCCTTGTGGAACTACGGATCTCCTACCACCGAAAAACCAGGAGACCTTAAAAGCTTGGTGTACTATCGTCAAACCCTCGCTGACGCTATGTCCTTATGTCTACTCTCCTTGACAGCGATTTCCACGTAGTATAGACAGCAATTTTTGCGGAAGTTGTTCAAGATCCTCGCGCGCTCGTCTGACGCAGAGTCAGACGCTCCCAGAGTCTTCCGATTCAGCTAACCGGCGCGACGATATTGCTCGCTATCTTTTGAATCGCCCGCAGATAAGATAGATGCGAGTCGCGAGATATCTCGGCTGCGTTCCACTTAACGCTTGCAATGCTCTTGAATCATTTCATCCTTGTTTATCAAATGTAAAACAAGGACAATGTTCGCGCACGTTAAATAGAACGCAGCCCTCGCAATCCATCGTGATGCGTAGTGAACGAAACGAAAATATTTTATACAGTCTCACATATGTACATATATCTCGTTAATAGTGCGAATTCTTCGCTTTATCTTCTTACATTATCCAACGAAATCTTCGCTCAAATCTAAACGAAGATAAATTAAGTAAGAATTCCCAGTGTTCAAAAATAAAATGAAAAGTAAAATATGGAATATTAAGAATTAAAATCTTTTATGGTATAACAATTTAATGGATCATTAGCAAAAAATAAAATAAAATATTTAAGAAAAAAGGTGTTACTAAATAAATTAAAACACTTTATACGGCTCTTAAATATTGCATTTTTCGCTAATGATGCGAACTATTAAATTGTTATCATGAAAGATTTGCGCATTAATTATCGCGCTAACTTCTAATATCTTGTATTTTATTTTCTCTTTTTCAAACAAAGTCTTGCTTGTTCCGTTCGATCAGGCGAAGACTAAATTGATATGGGATCTTGACGCTCACGCTTGGAAAATTTTCGTGTGGAGAGCGCGACGCGAGGGGATTATTGCGAATTTAGAATTGTGCGTAGTTCCCGAAATGCACAATACGGAACACAAGCGACCTCAATTCCATAACAAAAACCGAAAGGCCGGTTTTCGCCAGCTCCGTCCTCGGTTGAATGCGGTGTACTATTTGTATCCGGTATATTATTTGCTAATTGCAAATATCACACTCACTAATTGATCATCGAATGTGCAATCTCACGCACGTTCGACCGATGAAATTGAAATTAAATTACAATAATTTCAAACAAGACTGATATATATGTATACATATACAACAAGTAATAAAGGGAAAGGAGCTAAATTTAGGCGAGGCTAGATATATGTTGATTGCCCAATAATAGTTTTAATGTTCAAACCTTTTTACGCGCATTTTACTTTAGCTGAAATTTAAAAGATTTAAACATTAAAAATATTATTGGACAATCAACATCTAGCCTCGGCCGAATTTGACTCTTTTTGCCGTGTTACTTGTTGAAATTAAATTCTTGTCGCATTCCGATCGATTTTACAATGTTTCGCAACAGTTCTCTTTCGCGAACTTTGCACCGCGGTGACTCGTATTTTCTCCGATCTATTCACTTCGATCGGACTCCACAAACGATCGATCGGCGTATTTATACTCGAATTTACCAAAGAATTGTACAATGGCGAAAGAACGACTAGGAGCGACGGTTTCGTGCGAGAGACGCATGCGCCTCACATTTCACACGCTTGGCCCGACGTGTTGAAAGCAACGATGTATCATCCTTAGAATTGTACTATGAAAGCTAGTTCTCCCAGTGTTAGATGCCTGAACTTGCTTATTTTCTTCTTTCTCTTCTCGTTTATCTCTAACCGTATTATACGACATATACAACAATGATAGAAAAGAGAAGCAATGTCTCAGTCGAATTTAGAGTCAATTCTTCTCTCAAGAAAAAATTAACTGTCAGAATAAAAAGTGAAAGTTATTTCAAGAAAAATTTTGACATGAAGTTCTTTTAATTCGGCGAGAAAGACATTTCTACGTAATGATATCCGAAGTTGCTTCTAAATTCAAAAGCGTTGCATATATGCATATTATTATGAAACAAAAAATAACTGGATAAACCGCAATCCGCGCGGGATGTAGAAAATAAATGTAAGGCAGAATATTTTGGATGAAATATGTATAAGTACAAAGGGATAATTTGGATAATAGTCAGCATTTGCAAGAATTTTAGAAAAATAAGAGATTTTACTAGTACTTGATTTACTAGTACTTCTTAAGTTTTAATTCGTGAAAAACTTCTTGTTCCTTATAAATCATAGTTCGAAAATTATTAATCCCCATATTTTCGCTAATTAAAACCGATTTTGAACTTAAGGACAATAACAATAGTGTCCACATACCGTTAATTCAAAAACATATCTTCGAAAAATAACGAAGGAATATTTATTATAAATATGCAAAAGGTATCGAGAAAAATTCCATTTTGACGTAGGTAAAGTTCTAGCGACGTACCTTATTCTTCTTCTCTTCCCAATCCCATCTTTCTTCTCCTTTACGAAAGACTTTCATTTCCGTGTTTTTATCGATATTTAGGTAATTGTACTTTCCTCGTTGCGAATCGGTTACCGGTATCCACATATTTGTAATAGGCGTTGGATTTCTAAATGAGATTGAGAATTAATTATTAACGTGTGATTAATAAAATTGAAATATCGTGATTAAAAAGATACGTCTAAAGTTTGGAAAAAAAAAATTAAATTTCTTGTACCCTGTTTTAGCAAAATCCGTCCACATTTGCGTTAGGCAATTCATTATTTTATAGTCTTCCGAATCAACTGCAGGTGCTGACATGCCGAGATCTTTCATCACATTAAAATAAAACAAGTATGCCAGTTCCTCAAAATGAGACGCACCTATACAATATTTTGACATTCAATTGTTAATTAAACCGATAAATTGATCTTTTCGAAATATTGAAAAAGATAATTTGTTTTTTTAATTAAATACTATACAACAGAATCAATTTTGTTTGCTTAGAGTTATGTACAAAAATTTCGAAACATTTAGAATCATTTTATGTTGCAGTTGCGATATGAGCGTATTCATCTCTATAAAGTTAAAAATAAATCCGTAAAAATCTCTTAAATTAATTAGTGATAATACCTGGGATTCGAATATCAAATATTTTTCTCGCGGGACAAGTATTGCTCTCATATGAATATTTATACAGATACGTCGGTTTTTTATCATTATTTTTCAGCTTTGTCTGAATATCCACTACTTCCATTATACCCCGACAGAAGAACTCATCGCTAACAAAATCAACGTAATTTATTAGAGTTTCCTCTGATACTGCTTTGTCACCAAAATATAAAGAGCGTAATTCTTCGACTGTAATTGGCAAAGTCGATAAAGTCCTGGGCAATATGACACTCTTGAAATCGGAATCGACTTTTTTAAGCTCCTCTTTATTTATATCTGAAATAATTTTAAAGACATTTAATACGTTCGTTATAGATGGTTGCATGTATGATACATACGTAATGAATTTGTTTATGAACTTTTGTTTAAGCTAACAATAATAAAAAATAATTGATTTAAGTTGCAAAAACTTACGTCCGTTAAAGTTACTGCATATAATGAATGATCCCTCGCGACTGTTAAAACCCAAAAGTAATGGTACTTTAGTTTCGCGGCACATGAACGTCTCTGGATCTTCCGGGAAAAATGGATTCGATGATTCGTGATCCACACTGGGGGTAAATATCAAGCAATGTTGTTGACGCTCCTGCGAAGGAGATATTTATAAAATATTTTTATTTGCACAATCTGTAGTTTGCATACTGCACAATTTACTGCACTTATAAAATCATAGTCAAATTTCAAAATTCGAATATCCAGATAATTACTGTTTCTGTCAAGAGAGACTTTTGTTCCGTCTCTATAAGCTTTTTGGCATCGATGGTTTTAAGAAACTTGTAAACGACTTTTGGATCCGAGGTCGCTTTTCCGAGTATTTCGGCGAGCCGAAAAGTTTTGTTCATCGAATGTTGTTTTTCGGTAAAAGCCCAAGGATTCCTTGCGACTCCACTTTGTGCTATTGCTTTATGAAATAAACCTGTAAAACAAGTGTAAAGAAATTATTTTTTTACAATTTGTTAATATAAAATCTTTCTTTTTTTTTGTAATTTGTAAACTAGCATCTATGCGCGTTTTTGTTATCATTAATTTCTAATGATTTTGTAATTCATCATTGATAATCTTTCTATCTCTCTCTTTCTCTCTCCCGCTCTTTCTTGAAAAGTTGTTAGTTATTTTATAAATTTTAATATTTTATTAATATGACTTTATAATTGAAATTTGAAATTTAATTTTTAAATTAATTAAATTTAAATTAATTAAATTTTAAATTAATTAAAAGAGGGCACAGATTTGCGGAGATTTTTATTTTTTATATATAATCGTAATAGTGTTTCAATATTTCCGTTGAGAGAAATGAAACACTGCAAATTAATTAATAAATTTATTATTAGGTGGGATTTGATTTGCGGATTTTAAGTTATTTTGTATGAATAAGAGAGTTTGTATCGAGAAAATACTTTTTTACTTTAAAGGTTATACCTTTCGCTAACGGAGACAGAGTTAGATAATGTACGATGCCTCCACCAGCACTTTCGCCGAAGATAGTGACATTTTCTGGGTCTCCTCCGAACTGTGATATATTTTTCTGGACCCATTGTAACGCCATGACCACATCTTTTAAACCTTGATTACCCGTCGCCACTTTGTCGTAGAGATTTAGGAAACCTAGTGTCACACACATTAATTACATTACATGTACTTTTTGTTAAAATCGATTCATTTTAATAAAAAATAAATTATTACTTTATTGTATCTAAAATAAATCACTCTAGTATTTGTCTCTAATACATCAGTCGATAAAATAGTCTTACATGCAGGAAAATATAGATGTTTGTAAATGCAATATGAACAGATTGTGAATTTTTTTTTGTATGAATTGACTATTTTTTTGCAGTTTTTATATAGTCTATATTTTTAATATTTAACTTTGACAATGCATAATCTGTAACAATTGTCAATATCTCCAAGTGACTCGTTCAAAATAGAGAAAATTTGAGTAGTTGCTCAATAAAAACTCCAGAATATAAATGATATATTGTACAATGATTATGCGTATTGAAACGAGTAACCTACCTAGAACACCTAGTCTATAATTCAAGGTAACCAAAACTACATCTTTCGGTACAATATAATCGGGACCGTAGAAGAGTTCATCACCGGAACCAAAAAAGAAACCACCGCCGTGTATCCACACCATTACCGCACGCTTTTTCGAAGGTTCGATTTTTGTAGTGTACACATTTAAATAGAGACAATCTTCATCGCCCTCAATTTCGCGTGTCAAAACATTCATTTGAACGGAAATGTTTCCGTGTTTCGAGGCATCTCTCTTACCAGTCCATGGTTCTGCTGGTTCCGGGTCCTAAACATTTCATATATTCAAGATATGATTCTCTGTACCAAAAAGAGTAAGAACTTTTTCTTATTCAATATTACTCAATATTAGATTCGAATAATTTTTAAATGAGAGTTATTAAATATATGAAATTATAAAAGTTAAAAATGTATAAGTGTATAAATGTAAGACTGAAAAATAAAGGAGTGAAGAGCTAAGGTACTAAGTAAAAATTAAGATAATTAAGTAAAATATTATGAGGAAAGATGCGTTTATAGAATAGGAAGTATTTTTAACAGAGGAATGGATAAATGATTTGGTTAAATTTAATGTAAATTTAGTTTCCTTCTTGACTTACTAGGAAATAAATATTAAATATATATATTTATAATGAAAGAAATTAAAATCTAGCTAACGTTTTGAGTACGAATTTCACGTCTAGGCTATTTTGTTATTTTTTTGCAATACCTTTAATCTTAAATTATGTTACTAATTGATGTTATTTAATAAATTGAAAGTATAATTTATGTTACATATAAATCATTTAAACTATTTTTTCGAATAATCGCGCCTGGATATTTCTTTTATATTTTTTCTTAGTATTGTTAATTGAAACATTATCTTATTTTATATTGTTATTTTATTTTTATAAATATATCTGTAAAGAAAAGCAAATTATATAAAGTTATATTATAATGAAAAAGGATTACATAAGATTATACGATAATAAACGAAAACAGATTATATAATTATTTTGTAATCTAACTGATAAGAATTTTTCAATTGACAAATTAAAAATTGTTTTATTAATATTGTCTAATTGCAATTTTTCCAAAGAGAACTCATTTTTATTTTTTCAATCTTTTCACGCGCGATAAACGATTAGTTTTAAAACTGAAGTTATCGCCCGATAAAAAAAGGCATTTACGATAATGGAACTTTATGTTTTCTTACTTTGAATCTGAGTTCTCCAGTCGGCGGTTTGGCATATGGTATTCCTCGAAATGCGATATAATTGTCGCCGTAAACACTTTTGTCTACGACACCAATTAACTTTCCTTCCTGTACGCATATTTCGACT